ATGTAGACGAGCCTTTAGAGTTATAAAGATTCGTCTATATTAGCTGTAAGAGTAAGGCTGTAAGGTTGCAAGACACGAAATGAAATATTTTCATTCGCTAACAGCTTACGTTACAGCCTTACAGCCTTACTCTTACAGCTATTGTAGACGAGCCTTTAGAGTGTGCTTCCAGTTTAACCATAACTGATCTAGGGTGCGTTCGGGGAGCACGCTATTCGCACAATAATAGCGTTTTTCATTGGGAAAATGAGTGCGCACTCAATGCGCACTAGTCGTGGACGATGTGGTTCATTGGGAATTTCAGTGCACATTAAAATCATGCGTCGTGTTTCATTGGAAAATGTAGTGTCGAGTTTTTGCACTTTCGTGCACAAATTCGGCACGAGCTCGGAGAGATGGTGTCGGTTGAGTGCAAAACATGGCGGCGCAGAACAGAGATGTTTTGAATGAACAAACGTATGTGATAATTTCGGATTTCCTTTCATCTTCATCCAGCAGTGATGAAAATGAGTATTTTCTTCGAAATCCGAGGCGAATTGTTCCTAAAATGAAAAACTTTTTGCAAATAGTACATCAATATTCCGATCACGACGTAAGTTTATTGTTATAATTTAGCTTGTGAAAATAAAAGTAGAAAGTAATTTTTATTTTTGTTGTAGTTCAAATCCCAGTTTCGAGGGCAACAGCATATGATATTATAAATAATTTCGAAAATTCGACGTTCTATTCTGGTGATACAAGCCACGGAGGTATTAAACCGTCCTCTGCTGAATCACACGTTTTATCTTTTTTGTGGTAAATTTTACATATACATGTATAGTTTTTAATTCATCCACCACTCATATTATATATATATATATATATATATATAATATTAAAAAGATTTCAAAAAATATTACTTTGTATAGGTTTGCAGGAAATAAAGTGTGCTTAAGAGATGTTGCACAAAGATTTGGAGTATGCGCTACAACGATTTTTCGACAAAATAAAAAAATGATGGATTTTCTATGCGATATAGCTGGAAACGTCATCAAATTTTCTGACAAAGAAAATACTGCAAACGAATTCCTTCAAGTATATTTAATTAATGTATTTTAATGAAGCTAAAGCTAGCAGCCGATTCATAGCTGAATTATGAAAGCAGTAGTTTTTAATTATTATTTAATAAATGTCAATTTCTTGTTAATTAATTATTTAATGCTAAAAATTTTTCTATTATTCTTTAGTTCTAAACAGTGCTTATGCGAATTTACTACTAGTTTCAGCTTTATTGTATTTTATGTATGTTTTTCTAATGAGTTATTTAATGTATATGTATATAAAATTGAAGATTGCAGGATTTCCGAAAGTTCTTGGCTGCATTGATGGGACTTTCATTAAAGTCCGAACGCCAGCCCACAAAATAAAATCGACATATGTAAATAGACATGACATCCCTTCGATAACATTGCAGGGCATATGTGATGCTCGAAAGAGATTTATAGATACATTTACAGGAATCCCGTCGAAAATTCACGATGCGCGCGTACTCAAATTATCAGATATATGCGACGAGTTGCCAGGAATATGTGAAGGCGGAAAATATCACATTCTAGGCGATGGAGCGTATCCAATAAGAGAATGGCTTATTATACCATTTAAAGACTACGGAAATCTGTCTGCAAAGGATAAACAATTTAATAAAATGCTGTCTGCGACTCGAGTATTGATCGAGAATGCGTTTGGACTGTTGAAAGGTCGTTTTCGACAATTAATCGAAGTAGATCTACATACTGTTGATAAAATATCAAAATTTATTACATCATGTTGCGTTTTGCATAACTTATGCATAGACAACAACGATAACTTTGATGTTGATATTGTTATAGAAAACAATGAAGATTATAATAATGAAGGCAGAGGTCAACAAGAAGCTCTATTACGAAGATTAGGGGAAGTAAAAAGAAACCAATTGATGAGTGTACTTTTTCCATGAAATAAAAATTAATACAATATGAAATTATCAAACGTTTATTTGTCCTGTGGCAAATAAGTACATACTTTCCAATAAAAAGCAAAACATATAAAAACAAAGCATATTTTTTTTATAACACGTACATATTAATTATTTTTTCAAAATTCATATATTATATCTCTTATTTATTTCATAAACATGTAATTTTTTAACATACACGCTTTTTCAAAAAGTTTGATTGTAAAATTAAATAACACTGTTTTAAAATTAAATAACACAATAAGTTTACTTTATACTGGTTCATACTTAATAGTCTGAGCAGTACTATATCTTTCGTAAAGTGCGAAAATCAAAATATGCATACGCTAATATTAAAAACCAGTAATATTAAAAACAAAGACATACAATTAGTAAACGTATAAAATTATAAGAGAAAAAAAAATAATTAAAATTATATATCACATCCAGCGTTTTAGTTAGGAACTTTCATATTAACATATGGTTCAGGCTGATTTTACATTAGTCTTTCTTTGGTTTTTTTTAATATTTGCTTGTTTCTGTATCATCTTACTTTAGTTCCCACTACTTTTGTTTGGCGAACAACTCCCGTATTAAATTCAACTTTTCTTGGTGACGTCTTTCTTTTGCCGCTTCTTTATTTTTCCAGTATTCCATCCTTTTATCAATATCACTTGGTTTCGATTTTTTTGTCTTCGGTGGTGAGCTATCAGTAGAATGTGTAGAGGCACTATCATTGCAGATTTCTTGTATTCAATTTAGGATATTTAACGCTCCTTGCATTTCGCAACACCTCGGGCTCAATACTATCGTCCGAATGAGCAATTTTACGCAATTCTTCTTCGAATGGTACATCCTCTCTAGAGCTGCCTGATTTAGAGTTGTTCTCAACTGCTTTTTTTTCCTTTTGAGAACGGTTTTATACCGATTTTCAACTTGAAGAGGAGTTTTTAATACGTCCAACATCGTCAGCATATCTTTTGAAATTTGCGCCCACATCAATTTTTTAGTTTTGAATTTTTTCATGGGACCAATATCCGACATATATGTTTCATATTTATCGAGAAGAAACGATGTTCCTGAATTGCTCCAGTAATCTGAAAATCACGTTGTTTAATGATTAATACAATAGTCTACATTATAGCACCAGTAAACCTATTAGTAGGTATTACAATAATGTAAAAATTTTGTGAAGTCAAAGATTTTAAAAAATCTTTTATATTTTATATTACATTTTTCATATTATATTTATTTCATTTATATTATATTTATATATATTCTATTATACATATATATTGTATGTATTTTATTTGTTAATAACATATTTAGATTATATTTATTAACGTATCATTCTTCGTTTCGTATCGTATTCATTTTCTGCTCGAATATAACAAATACCATATTTTATAGTACATTATCATAGTGCTATGAATAGTCGTAAATGCTTTATTAAAACAGATTTACCGCTACTCTTCTTTCCTTTTTTATCGTACTCCTGCGATTGTGATTCATTCTGATCATATTCCTGTGATTCAAAGGATTCAAACATGAGTGCTTCATTTTCTTTATTCTACTCCGATAGCTGATCTTCATTGCTGCGATTATCACCATGAATATTCGCGTGGAATATCAATTGTTCTCTGTAATACAAAATATATTGACATTTTACACTGCCATATACAGGGTGAGTAAGGATCCTCTGCAACAAACTTAGACAGATTGTTTGGAAAGTCATTCTGATTAAAAAATGTCATATGAATATAGATCCTATTCTTAATATTTACAGACCTCAAATGTTCGACAGAATTTGACAATCACTGCTACGATGGTGTAATAAAAGTAATCAGATTCAGAATAAACACTTTGAACAACTCCTGTAAACTGTCCGCAAGGATACTTGAAGAAATAAATGCAAATTCATTTCATAACTGTACATGTCACCTAAATTTTACAACTTCTGTAACTATGTAAATATTAAGAATAGGACCTGTGTTCATATAACATTTTTTACTCAGAATGACCTTCCAAACAATTTGTCAAAGTTCGTTGCAGAGGTCCTCTGACTTACCCTTTATTTTTTTTTTAATTTTTTTTCTGTTGTGTACATTTGAATTCTGTAGAACTTTGATTCTTTGAAGAAATAATGAAAAACAAGATTGCTTGGAATTAATATATGTATGTAAGAAACTGAAGAGTTCCTGTTTACCCTAAAGTAAACTTACTTATTTTTTTAAAGTAAACTTGTAAAATAAAATGGTAATTATATTTTATAAAATAAACTTTGCTCTTAACTTCTTAATGTGCTTTTTCGGAAGATTTTGATAGCTTGCAATTAATACATCTCAAAAAAATTTTACTTACTCATCTTCAATCACTCGAGATATTTCTTCAATTTTCTGATTTCCATGTAGAACACACAATCCATTTTTAATCACAAGTTTTATATATTGTATGCTATAGGTATCGTCATCTGAAATTAATTGACACAAGAATCAATAATATTCAGTTAATATTCTTTTATGTATATATTTTTGAATATCAAATGAATTGTGTTTTACAAGCTTTACAAGAGGTTATATATGCATTCAAGTTTTTCGAGTAGACAATATCCAAAAACTATTATGTACATAAGTACATATGTCTTTGCCGACAATTTATTTATACTACGGGAATAACCTCAAAATCCAAAATCATGCAAGTCCTATATAATTCTATACTTACTCATTATTTTATTGTATAACTCTGTTTCGCTTGATAGAAGTTTTAACGAGAGCATGTCATTATTGACTTTGAAAGAAATGCTTAATTCTTCTGATTGTTCCATAGTGAAGTTTACGTTAATGCATATATTTTCTTTCAATCCGAGGCGAATCGGTTCTTATGCGCACTCATCAAGTCATGAGTGTTTCATTGGGCGTGCAAAAAAACTTGCACTGTCGGTAAACTCGGGTAGTGTCGCCTAAACTCCACGAGTTCTTAATGCGCACTCAGTGCATCCCAATGAAAAACGCTATAAGTATCTAAGACCGTTCGAGGAGACGCTTTGTGGCGCTATAAAATCGATAATGACATCACTCTCAAAGCAGCGTGACGTCATTATTCGCGCAATTTTTCGCTATCATTTTCGAGGTAGGGCAGCAAATGCTATTAGCGCTAATTGGCGCTTATTCTTTCCTCGAACGCTCGATTGTGCTTTAAAGTGTTAGTCTATGATCTGTTCTTTTTAACTGCTGTTCTTTCCACCAATTACAACAGTGCAACCAGAAAGAACAAACCAATTGCGTCAAAAGTCAAATAAAAACAATTTATTAAACTGTGAGAAACTGTATTCACAATGGCTCAACCACTTAGTTAAATATCTGAAAATGTCGAAATTCATCTTTTAGATGAAAACGATGTGACATACACAATAAAAGTATCGCCAAATGATGCAGCGCGTGCAGAAAATGGTAATTATGATGACAGAGGTTATATAAGTATTCTATATGCTAATAATTATCCAAGTATAGAAGATAGATCAGTTGATATAATGGAAATTAATAAATTAGATTATAATAAAAGAGTGTGATTGATTTATGTCTCCTTTAATATATAGATATTATTCGTTATTCTTTTAGATACGATATTTACTACTTATCTTCTAGAAAGAGCAAAATCACAAGATTCAGATTTTGATGCAGCAAGTCTGTCAATGGAGTCTTCCAATTCTGAGGATAATAATGAATCAATGTTTAAATGGTCTCATGCGGCAATTCTATTGCTGGTAGAAAAGTATCGGCTGCAAAAAAATAACATTGTATCGGGTAAAATGTCCCAGAAAAAAGTATGGAATAATATTGCATCAGTATTATTTGTTAAAGGCTATAATGTCACTGAACCTCAATGTCTTTCAAAATTTCACGGAATGAAACGAACTTATAAATCTATAAAAGATCACAATAGCAAATCAGGGAATAATCTTAGAACATGGCCTTATATGGAAGTCATGGAATCTTTGCTTGGTGAACGATCTATTATGTCATCTCCAGCAATAGCCTCTTCAAGCAGTATGTGTTCTAATTCTAGATCTAATAGAGAATCTAACTTATCAAATGCAAATATATGTAACAATGCAAACTCAAGTAATAAAAATTTAAGCTATTCAAATTGTCGGAAGCACAAGGCACAAGAAAGTACATCAAACATTGCTGAATCAATTTTACAAAGTCGGAAATTGGCTGAGAACAATAATGATCAGAGGCACAAAGAAAACATGGACTTTGAAAAGCAAATGCTAAAATTCATGGGTAAAATTTTAGACAAATTATAAATGTTTTTATTTTAATTTACATGCAACAAAGATAAAACGAAGTTGTAGTACAAATTATAAGATTGTTTCCTTTGTTTTTGATAAAACATATACCATTTATTTTCTTGTTTACTTCTTTTAGTACAATTAATATTTTATTTAGTTTTGTAAAATATAGTATAGTAGCTGGTACATCTATTATACTGTGTTCTGTCTTCCTTAATATTTTAAACATATTCTTAAAATTTGCTTTATTTTTTAATATTAATAATTAATATTAAGTTTATACACATAAGTATTCACTAATGTCTTCCCATTGCAATTTGAATTATTTTGACGATTTTCAACTTTATGCCTATACATACATATTTTTATAATATAGTTAATTAGTTAGATAAAGTTATTACGTAAACATGGTCATAGACGCAACGCATAAAGTTGTGAAAATCGTACAAATAACAGTTATAATAGCAAGAGATTAATAACTTCCTGCGTACATCTGTGATAAATTGAATAATGGTTAAATGCATAAGTGATACTTAATGTTAAGAACACTGATATATAAAATAAGATTTTTCTTTCTATGTTGGAACAATTAAAATGTTTGGTAAATATTTCTGATGAAAGTTATGTGGAACAGAATTACTACATTCAGTTAACTTAATTAGTCTATTATAACAAAATTAATCAATTATATTGATCAGAAAAATAAATTGGTTCATTAATTTTGCTGCTTGGTCGATCGAAAAAGTTAACCAGAGTTAGTGATATTAGTTCTTTATGTATAACTAAGTATTACATTATACTTAGTATTACTTATACAGTGTTACATATATGTAACTTGTTTTTATTTTTATTGTACCTCAAGACAATACAAAGTATTTCATTTTTATTTTGTCGAAGAGAATGATTAATTAATATTAATGCTTGGTCGACCGATTAAGTTAAGCAGGGTTGGTGATATTAGTTCTTTATGTGTAACCAACAATATTACATATATATAACTTGCTTTTATTTTTATTGTACTTCAAGACAATACAAAGTATTTTATGTTTATTCTGTCAAGGGGAGTAATTGTATGTGTTAAAAATTAATTATAAACTATTATAAAACTAATATCAATAACAAAATGTATCTTTCATTTTATTCTTTTACTTTTTGTCCTAAATGAATTAATAACGAAGAGGATGTACTTATTATTTTAGAAGTAACACGGAAATGGCAATTTTTAAATATAATACTATTGTAAAAATAAATAAAGAATTCTTTTATATGTTATACTATCTTAATTTTATTAAACATGTACATATTAGTTTATATCTATGTTACAAAAGTATAAAAGATAATAACTTGTAAACTTCTTTAAAATAAAAAATACATTGCATTCCTAGCAAAATTAGAACTGTTTTAAGATTTATATGAGTCTTATTGGAAGTCTTTGGCTAATTAAATCTCTTTTCAGAACACCTGTTGTATCATCTGCAGCAACTTGACGAGGAATATCATTATCTACTTCATTATTTAATAAAACAATGTCAAAATCATCATTTCTTAGTATACAAATATTATGCATGACACAACAAGCAAGCAATATAATGAGCAATTAAGGCCGGTATTCATAATCGGATCTTAAATTTAAGACCGTCTTAAGTTTATTTTCAGATGCTATACAAATCATTTCATTGGCTATGGGGTATCTGAAAATGAACTTAAGACGGTCTTAAATATAAGACCTGACTATGAATACCGGCCTAAGTCAGTCCGATTCATGGTTGTGTAATAAACTTCTAAATCAACCTTTCAAGGTACCAAATGCTCTTTCAATGGCGATTCGTGCTGAAGAATGGCAGAAATTATAATTTTTTTGTCGTTCAGTCAAATGACCATTATCACGATATGGAACCATTAAATTATCATGAATTTTATATGCAGCATCATCAAGTAAATGGGAATCATCAGGAAATTTTTCTGGGTTACCCAATGCATCTTGAATTTCTGATTGACGAAAAACGCGTTGATCATGCACAGAACCTGCATGTCCAATATAGCAGTGCGTGAAACGAGCTTTGTGATCACAGATCCCCTGAAAGAATATTAAGTACGATATATTCAATATATACAATATAGTGAGGAGGATAAATTCTTCCATCTAATATACTAAGTATATATTACAAACTTGTAGCTGAATGGAATGGTGACCTTTCCGATTAACATAGGCTTCTGGATGTACATGTGGAGATGGGATATTGATGTGAGTACCATCGATAGCTCCTATGACTTTAGGGAAGGAACTAATTACTTCAAATCCTGTCCAAACTTCTTGGATAGCGTTGCCTGTTGGCCATTTAATTAATACTGGTGCTAAATCTGCAAGTATCTTGGTAACTCGACGTGTTGTTAATAAGGCTGTTGATCGACTCATATCAAACTTTTCACATATTGATCTAGGATTAAAAAACTTATGAATGAAAAATGCAACATTACCTTGAGTAGGTCTTATTATTAGATATAATGTACTAACCTGTAAGAATCTGGTGTAGCCATTCGCCAAATAGCAATAAAAAACTGTTTCTCTGGGGAGATCATTCCTAACCCTGGATACTTTATCTTAAGTTTTGGGGCAATTATCAAGAGTACAAACTCAAAAGTGTCTCTGGATATTCTAGATAAGAAGTGTGTAGAACTAAAATTAGTACAGACATACAGCGTATTCGACTGGACCTGGGTTAACCCATGCTGGGTTACATAAACTCAACTTAGGCCCAGTTCCACAATTTGCTTTAAACGGAGTTTAAAGTTAAACCGATGGTTAAAAGCAATTTTAACCATAAAGTATATACTACTGCTTTTAACCATCGGTTTAGCTTTAAACTCCATTTAAAGCAAGTTGTGGAACTGGGCCTTATTAGTCGAACGTATATTATACTATACTATATAGTACATGTTCGACCAATAAGCTGGGTTTATTTAACCCAGCATGGGTTAACCCAAGTGAACCCAAGTCCAGTCGAATATGCTAATAGAAAAATTTAGCTAATTTCTTTCCAATAAATACCGAATATCACTATACTAAACACTTTTTGTTGAAATTTCAAATGACATTATTGAAAAATTACATTACATTGCATTACATTTATGTTATAATTTCTCACGTAACAATGTAAATGTAATAAAATACATATTGCATTTACTTTGCTGCAGTATTTACTGAGCTACCATAAATAAATACATAATGTGAAATATGTTCACCATTCTATGATGTATATATAGAACTTTGAAAATTAATTAAAGATAATTTATCATTACCTAAAATGCGACTTAAATTCTTGATCTTTCCACCTAGGTATCACCTCTTCCACATAATTTTGTAGTCTTGGCAGTTTCTTCCGACGTCCTACTTTTAAATTAATGAGTACATCCAACTCTTCTTCGTCATCAGATGATGAAGACTTTATTAATTCACTCAGAGCAAAGAGTAAAAGACTTAATAATCTTTTTCTTTTTTGGTTATCCATATTTGCACCAACATCAGCCATATTGTAACGATAAATTCACTCAAGTAACGTTCGAGCAGCTCGAAAGCGTAAGCTGCTTATAGTCTCTCCGAACGCATCTATCAGCGTAGCGTTTGTTCCGTGATAGCGTGCTCCCCGAACGCACCCCTAATCATCCCATCACAGTTGCTGTGTCCGTTTTACACTGTGTTGCATCTGTGACCACCCCTATTTTAACTATATTGATAAAAATAATTATAAATGACACACAGTATGTTTATAATTATAATTATATATGTAATTCTGCTTCTATTTTTATTCTATATGTGTCTATCTTAAGTACGCACTAAATGGGAAAGGAAATTGTAAGAATCAAATTATTAAAATGTTATTCTTTAATTTTTATTGTGTCGTAGTGGTATTACAATAAATTCATTTCTTATGTTCTTAAATGTCCACATCTTACACATTATTTGTGTAATACACGAATAAATTAATTTATCATCTTTCACAACGGAAAAAAAGGACAATATTACTGAAGAACATGGTCTTTCATATATGCTGCTAATAATATTGCATTTGTGCCCTACAATATCATTTGTTCCTTTTTCATTATATTTAGAACTCTTACAATTGTCTTATTGTCTAACATAAGAACGTTATTACTTGTATCATCACAGTTAAGATAATACGTGTCCGTTTGCAGTATTTTATATCGTATTATATTTTTAACTGAAAATTCAGGTAAAAGTGGTCCAAAATGATGTTCATATTTTAGTTGACATGTAGGCACGAATAGTTCTTGAAATATTGTAGATTGCCGTTCATTATATCGTCGTGCTATTTGTTGCAAAATATTTCCGAGTTTTCTAATTAATTTTTTAGACCCCCTAAAACATTTTCAAATGGAAAAGCGCTAACTAAAGTTATCCAATACACCATTTCTTCGTACTTCATTACCTAAGTGTAATAAATTGTGCACGTTGTGAGAGACGAATTGTTTTCCAAACAGAATCTGAAAACCTTGCACAAAGTAAGCCAGCAAATAATCCGCGTATTTTATATTTTCGTCATTGGTTATTAATGTTGGACTTATTAGTATTGAGGTTGCAATATGTAGTGTTAAAAAATGTTCATATATATCCCCCAGTGAGCAAAATGAGTGCAAATTGAGCGCAAATTGGCAGCAAGTTCGATCAAAACTTGATGCCAAAACCGTAGCCAACTGTGTCCACTTTAGGCTTGTGTTTTGACATCAAGGCTTGGTGTCGGGTAACTTGTAACAAATTTGCAGCAAAAACCACGCAAGTTTTGTAGCGCATAACTTTGTACCAAATAGGCACCAAATACCGAGCAACACTTGCGCACAAGACACGAGAGCAAATTGGCAGCAAATCCGCAGCAAGCCTTGCACTCAATCAGCTGATCGAGATGGTGGCGACGTGCGTTGGGTTTTAAATAGTTCCTAACCTATAATATATTCTGAAATTTTGATTGAAATTTTTCATTTAAAAAGAGAAAGGTGAATATATAAATAAATATTTGACGAAATAGAAAGTATAATTTATTATATATACATATATATATACATATATACACGCAACGTTACGCCGTGACCATGATGTGTGTGTGTTATGTGCGTGTGTGTGTATGTGCATGAGAGTATATGTAGTATAAAGCACTATCTCTTTATTTATATATAAGTATATAAATATATACAACTCTCTGCGCTGTTAAATAGAAAAACGAACTTTCCGAAAGGAAAAAAACTGCAAGAATACGAAAAAATTATTGATATATTATTGAAAGTTATCTTATCATATATTATTATAACTTTACATTGTATGACTTAGAACTAGACTTGCGAAGTTTGCTTCGCTTATCGAGCTTATAGGGCTCGATTCTGCACTGCATTATATACACATCTACCGACAATTATCGGTATGTTAACGGCATTGCGCAGCTTTTTCGTATAACAAAAAACTGCACAACGCCGTAAACGATACCGATAGTTGTCGGTAGACGTATACAGAATGGAGTCCCAGCGGTAAGCGGTAAGTAACGTCGCTAGTCTGCTTATAATTCATCTATAAAATAACTCAATTATAAATAATTGCAGATGATAAAACTGTATATAATACACCAACTACATCAATTGGAACATGGTCACCATCATTTCATCATTCCAGACGTTCTGATTCTCCTATAGAAGAAATATTAACTGAGGGTAATATTATTGATGATATATATCTCCCTTTGATAACATTTGTTATATAAAATCACATCGCGTGAGCGTACATATTTTTAACAAAAAAAGATATTAAGAGAGCACAATGTTTTCAGATTACAAGAAATTTATGGTTAAAAGTATGGTGACCTTATTAAGAAGAACTAAAAATATAGGAGATCGAGTAAGTAAACTTGAAAATAAAGAAAACGAAGAAAATAACGAAGAAGACTCTGCAATTCCTGTACAAACTGAAGAAGAATTATTAAAATTTGAAGAAAAATTCCAATTAAAAATTACCAAGAAATACCAATTTCCAAGAAAAATTACAAAATCCCAAATTTTTCAAGAAAATAGTAAGCTAAGAAACGATAATTAATAATAAAAATAGTTAATTGAATATTTAACAGTCGACTGTCACTTCGACAATTGTGGGAGGCACTTATCAACTGCATCACAATGCATAGCATAGCAAAATATGTGGGTACTTATTTTTTTTGTAATAATATTTATAACATTTAATAGAAATATATATAATACACTGTGTTTGAAAAATTTTGGACCAACCAATTTGTGCAGATAGAACAGATGAAATTAGAAAAAAGTCAAAATTTTCGAAAAATCGCAATATTATTAACTTATTAATTAAAACGTTTAGGCGAATAAACGCACAGGAAGCTGTAGGCCGGACTCGATAGAAGTATAACGACAATATAAAGACAAATAGATATTCGTAACAATTAAAGATTACAACTAGCTGATTGCCGCTTATATCTTTTTATTGTTATACTTCTATCGAGTCCGGCCTACAACTTCCCGTGCACTCATTCCCCAAACGTTTTAATTAATAAGTTAATATAACTACATAGCAATAATACAACTATATTGCAATTTTTGGAAAATTTTATGACTTTTTCAATTTCATTTGTTCTACCTGCACAAATTGGCTGATCCAAAATTTTTCAGACACTCTGTGTATTAACATTATTAGTTCTTGTATAAAATATTTTCAAACTGAAATACTTTAATAGAAATATGAAATTACATGGATACTCAAAATAATCAAAATATTAAGATTTTGAGTTAATTAAACAATAGTAGTAAAGTAATTGATAATAGTTTCCTACTCTGATTAAAAAACAAAAAAACACGTTTCCTCAGCGAGAAAATACTTGTCCATTGACGAATAATTTCTATTTGGGTTTCTTCTTCTGTTATAGTTTCAGTGCAACTATTTTACAACATGTACATGCTAATTGTCTTTTTTATACTATGTTCTCTTTCATTGAGTTCTCATCCTAAGTATTTTTTTTATTTAATAACCTTATTTTGTAGACTTCCTCTTTGAAAATTATTGGTGGAAACACAATAACGTCAGCTACGAATGCAATTCTTAGCAAATTAATTGAAGATGTACTTGCCATAAAATATAATTGGCAAGGAAAAAAAGGGAAAAAAGCTTTTAATAAACTGTTGACATCAAAATTAATTATAAGTAAATATTTTGCCGGCGCATAACTATATCAATAATAATAATAATAAATATATTTTTATTTATTGTGATTGCCCTAAAATGCACAAAATACAAGGTTATAAAAAAGGGTATATTTAAAAAAAATTTTCTGTTTTATTTTAGAAACTGTACACGTAATGTGTCTAACACAATGCACTGATAAGCAAATAGAAGCTGCCTCAATATGGTTTGCTCAAGCTACATCACGCTTCAAACGTACAGAAGGTAGGAGACAACGAAACAACCAAGAGGCAACAAATGCAGAAAACAATCCAGTAGTACACCCTTACGATGATGATGAAGACTCTAATATTCTATACTTTTATATTTGCTGTTATATTTTTATATTTTTATTAAGGGAGGGTGGGGCACAGAGAGAGAGAGAGAGAGAGAGAGAGAGAGAGAGAGAGAGAGAAAGAGAGAGAGAGAGTGATAGTTTTGGGAAATTCGTTGGTAGAGCCCGTTTTTAAGTTGACAGTCTAATATTTTGATTAATATATTTTCGTTAGGCCTAAAACAAGAATAATCGACTGCGATTGGTCATTTTCTTACAACATAAGTTAACAGTTACATATGGTCAAACAGTATTGGACTTATTTATTCACTCAATCTGTTGCACGCCCTAAACGGATCCGTGTGTCGATGTGTGGGACACCCATATCATGAGTTACTCTTACACACATATATATACATATATATAACTAAACATATATATATATAACAATACAATTACATACATTAAGTTTCTTATAAGAATTTTAATAAATATTTAGACAAATACTTCATCTTGTGCAGTAATAATTATAAATATTGTTATGGGCGGATTTTACCAACTGATTGGTAAACTAATTAATAGTTCAAACATGTGTCTTTACTTATTTAAAAAAAAAATAAGTCGTATGATCTAATTATAAGTTAGCTTACCATTCACGTCGTGAAATACGTTGATTATAATATTTATATTCAATATATTTCAACAACTGACAATGAGTGGAAAACTAACTTATATAGTTATAAATCATGTTTTTCTTTTAAAATAAGCACATATAAATGTTTTAACAATTAATTAGCTTACTACTCAGTTGGTAAAATACACTGAATATGTAACCCTTATATAGCATTCTTTGAATATTGCAGTAACATTTCAGAAATATTGCAGTAACATTTCACAAATATTTCTACAATATTTTTTAAAATATTTCAAAAATATTACAGAAATATTGCTAAATATTAAAAAAAAGCGGACATAACAATATTGCTGAAATATTGCAGACATATTTCTTGCAATATTTTAATCTTACGCAAGTAATATTTCTGCAATATTTCAGCAATATTTCGTGCTGTAGGGGTAGTCTAATACGGGCATAAGATCCCTCGTCTGAAAGAAAATATGAAGGAATTGTAGGATAAAAAGTATCCTCCGTGGATCCTCTCATGCTCTTTAAACCTTCAGTGGATTTTGACACATATGTAGCTCTACGTCACTTCAGGCATGGTGTAGCGTAGAAAATTCTTTGGATCTCGCAGCACTGCTGTACAGACGTGGCAAGAACGTGGCAAGCACGTCGCTGTGACGTCAACAACATTACGTTCGTAGTGACGTGCTTGTCACGTATGGTGCAGTCAGGGCATTTATTCAAATTATTTAATCGATTTTTATTTTGACTTTTTTTCCAAAAAAAGCGCTCTGTACGACCCTGCGGACGTTTCTCCTGATTGCAAATATAATACATATAAGGTGATTCTCTCCGTATTTTGTTCATATTTAGTAATATAATTTTGCCTAGTTCGCGGGTCTCCGCAAGAGGTCTCTAGTATGGCTTCTGTAGACCCTTAACTTGACGTATCGTGCTCAGTTGTTAAACGTGCACGCAGTACACTACGGTACACGATTAAGACGATGGCGGGTTCAGCGCTCAGACGGCTAATGGCAGAGTATAAACGTGAGACTCAGCTTTTTAGCATTTTCAACATATCGCGGTAACATTAGCATTGCGATAAATTCGCTTAATAATGGCGTCGTTGCATGAGATTAATTTCCGTTGCCGCAATCGTTCGCTTGCGCATCGACTGATTGACCGATATATTACCGTTATATGACAAACTTGCAGAGCTAACGTTAAATCCACCAGAAGGCATCATTGCTGGTCCGATCAACGAAGAAAATTTTTTTGAATGGGAGGCTCTTATAACGTAAGTATTACTTTATTTTTCCACCCGGGAAAGCACGTCTCGTCAATTTATATCTAAATCTGCTGTATCATTTCATGCATTTTCCTAACCTCTTATCCCATACAGAGTGACGTTTTTAATTTTGTATGTCAAATAAACAATGAAAACAATGACTATCGTGAATTTATCAGTCTATATATTTTACAGTTATTCCATTATTATCTTAACAAAAGTAAATATTTTCAGTGGTCCAGAAGGAACATGCTTTGAAGGCGGAGTGTTTCCAGCAAAACTAATATTCCCACCAGATTATCCATTGAGTCCACCAAAGATGCAGTTCACTTGCGAGATGTTTCATCCTAATAGTAAGATATTACACAGATTGTGCTGCACAATATAATAACAATCACTTGTTAATTGCATACAAAGAATATAGTTTTCTTCCTTCTACTTTATACTAGTTTATGCAGATGGAAGAGTCTGTATAAGTATATTACATGCACCCGGTGATGACCCAATGGGTTACGAAAGCAGTGCAGAAAGGTGGAGTCCAGTACAGAGTGTTGAGAAAATACTGTTGAGTGTAGTAAGTATGTTGGCTGAACCAAATGATGAAAGCGGCGCCAATGTAGATGCTGCTAAGATGTGGAGGGAAGATCACAGTGAATTTGAGAAGATTGCTCAGAAATTGGTGAGAAAAACTCTGGGTATTCCACCGTAGATTACGCAATGTCTGCTACATCTACCTGTGATGTTTATTAAGGAAAAGAGTAAAGAGAAAGATGAATCTAATTTCTAAGTCTCACTATTGTTTATTTTGCTCCTTGTAACTTTCATGAGAAGAACATTGTACAAAATAATAAATTTATTTGTGGAACAAACTTTTTCTATGCAAATTATTTCACAATTATGATATACATGTGAGAAATAATGTGACCAATTCTATTATCATTTCTCGAACTTGCGAAATAAAATAAAGAGATATGAGCTTAGATCCTTAGTAATATTGCAAGAATCGGCTATATGAATCTCAAAAAATGTGTTTTATTTTCAACATTGTAGTACAAACATGGGTAATCAAATACATACGCGATTACTTCATACGCTCACGTATACCATTCCACTGTGACGAACCTATAACGAAGGACAGGATTCGCTTCTCGTGCTCTCGGGTGCGTGATTAACGTGATTGAGTGTTGGCACTTAAAATTATAAAATGATCCCACGAATTACCCTACAGCGATGTTAAAGTAATTATCACATTCGCAGATGGTGTTACGTTATTCGCGTGTAAAAGCGTACATCGGTATAAACTTAACGCATTATTAACTGATAGATTCTTTTGGATATTTTTAATTCAAATATCTGCAGATATAGATTGTAAGTAAATACATTTGATATTTTACAAAAGGCGTTCGCGGAAACATGGAAACAAGCGGAACAGTGGATTCTTTCACTCTGAAAACACTTCAGAAAATTAATAACTTTATCGGTCACACGGCCAAACGGAATCGCGCGTTTTCACAATCAGTTATTCTATTTTTATTTCTATGGAATTATGCGAGTGTGCCAATTGAGAGATAGTCGACACGCTAATAAAAATTCCGGAACGTATGTATATTTATTTATATATATCGTATTGTATTTACAAAATTAAAAAATCCGCAGAAGACGCCTAATCCTGCACATCCCACTCTGATAACAATCGAACTTGGTGACGAAGATACAAGGTGTCTCATTTAAGGTGTCTCGGTCCAAATAGCGTCGAACAATTTCTTTCGGAAAAGAACTTATTTTTTTTAATTCCAAAGACGATCGTGTTAAAAACAAAATCTTTTTATTAATTTCTTTTTTTTCTTTAACTATTTTCTGTATCCTCAATGTTTTTTTAATAAACACATGCATACACACGGTTCCGAGTAGCCTTATGCGAAACATCCTGTACATTAGACTAGAATAAATAAATTAGTACACCTTGTCGTATACAATAAGTTATCTCCGTAGTCGAATTGCAGGTCTGACTTCAAGAATCGGACGAGTCTACGTTTTGAAAAAAATCGATTCTTTATTATGTATCTCGTGTCAAATATGTGTATTGTTCACAATCCAGTCATACGATAACAACAAATAAAAATCAAAGCCTGGATGTTTGACCGTAAATTTACAAGATTGCTTTTATTGGATACTTTAAAAACTGTACTCGCTTATTTCTTGTAATTGGACCTTCGCAATTCGTTTTCTCTCTTAAATTTTCCTTCTCTTTTTTACTTGGATTTAAACGTCAGCAAGAATAAACACAAAGACTTCGCACGTGAATTGATATTTTATTAGTAAACAATACTGAATTCCAACTGAAAAATGCAATATTTGTGACTAGCATTCGACAATTGTATGTAAAACAATAAGATTTTAATGTACCTGTTTCATACTGCCGAAGTACAACATCTTGTACATTTCTTCAATATCTTACAAAATCTTCTTGATCCCTTTTTTTTACCCTCCCCATATATGCTAAAGAATTCCTCTGCCGAATTACGAATCTGCCTAAGTATATATAACTTACGTAACCAATGATCGTGTAAGAGCTTTTGTACACAACATTACATATTTAACACCGAACAAGAAATACAAGGAAGATGCTGTACTCCGGGTACAGCTGCATATTTTGGCATACACGAGAGGATACATCCTACGTTCCGCGCCAAACGATCAAGCTCGATCGAGGATCACCGAACGAATCTACCACGTTTTTCACAACCAAGGCCGGAAAGATACGTTCTGTAGGGCAGACTATCCCGCGAAGTATCGTGCTTCGAAGCTTGCATCGTACATCCGATAGCTTGTTGCGGGACATCCTGCGTGTGAACGCTCGATTCGTCTAAATGTTTCCAGCATTCGCTCGACGCGAAACGGCGATCTAATCGTGACCATCCGCTTTATCAGTAATATCACATTTCGCTAGAAGAAGTGTACATTCAAAGGCAATCGCTCCTTCGCGGCGCCGACGTCGAAAGTGTTACAAATATACAAAAACATTTGACACGTACACCTCCCGTCACCTAATTCACGCAATCGACGATCGAAGACAGGGACTTGTTGAGCTACCTGGACGAACCTCGCTCAGGCTGCGAGCGTGCTTGCATTTGGCGCTAAACACGACCATTTTTATCGTTTTACATCGTTCAATATGTACGTCTAATCTCGATTGTTGAAATTTCGTTTAATCTTTACAGTGCGGACAGCGCTTAAAGGTATTCTTCATATAATTATTAACAGTTCTGTATGTACTCCGTTCCAATTCAAAAGTCAAATCTGTAATGAATAGATGAAGATTAAATTATCTATCTTTGTCAGTCACGCTCTTCCGACATTTTTAATAAGACGTGTTGTTGACAAAGATATCAATTTTATCAGCATCTATCTGTCTCCTTGAAAAAGCCAATTCCAGTATGCAGCTTACTAGGAGACAGTGTCTTTAGGCATCTTTATTTATTATCAATGTAGCTTTCGTGCTAACAGCGTCGTTTTATTTTCCTTCGGCATGTAATTAACAATAAAGATAAGACGCTACCAACGCGTAAATGTCCAAACACAGCGACTATGAACGCTGCCTGTTACATGTGAATGTGTCGCATCGTGATTGTTAGCACTAGCTCTATGTCGCTCACACAGCAATAGTTTTATTTTCAAGCGACTCGCAGTCTAAGGATTAAACGTCACGCTTCAATTATTGAAATAAAAAATGCGCGTTCTTATGCGATGGTATATATATAGTCGCGATAGCTTTTCGGGCACACTGCAGCCTTCAAAGGTCTCCCGCTTGGCGCGGAACGCTGTTTTTTTATAATTAATTTTTAGAGCCGGTTGCATCAACTGTGGCTAACGAAAACATTGATTAATACTAACTGCGGTTAAATAAATTTTTGTCTTATCTATATTTATATATATTTTCGGCTAAAACTATGACCTCTTCCCTCTCGAGAAAGAAAAAGAATTAATTAATTAAGGTACAACTAATCTCCAGGGATGATTGCACTAACATCAAGCGCTAATCACGCTTGAAATTAATTCGGATTAGCTCGATGTCAATCAATTAAGTCAAAAGATCAATAAGGCTAAGCCAAGATCTTTCGATTAATTAAAGTTGATTTCACATAAATTAATTCGTAAACTCTACTATGTTACAATTGTCAACTAAAATTAGTTAAAGTTAAATAATACGAACACGCGGTTAATCAAGAGTCTTGTCTCGCTCACTGCTACAGTTTAGAATTAAATGTGATCGCGATATCGATTGTCGTTGATCGGTTAACTGAGCCTGTTAATGCAACTGACCCTTAAAACATAATTTCACTAAATAAAATGCTCGCGTTCTCTTAACAACTACAACTTCCTCGCAAGCGAAGACGCGTGTTGTGCATGTATGTGTTCTGGATGTATGTTAGTGTGTCGTGTGCAATTTATGCCGACGTAAATACGCTCGTTATAAAATCTTACTAATTCTGCTCTATATACGTATACCTCCCTCTGTGACTGTGAGGTTTTGTGGTGCCGTTATTAATCGTTAACTATACGCACATCTCGCGAATCCTCGCACAGGATTCGTCTAGTCCACACACATTGGACGTCCTCGTTAATATTAATAGTAATCGTATTGCAAAATCTACCAAGTGGGTACTGGGTACAAAATTTATTCGTATTGCGTGTGTTACGTGTGTCTTGTTATGTATGTATGGATTTGTGCTCGTGTATATGCTCGTACACATGCTCGTGTGTATGTTCTTCAATTTATTAAAGCGCAAAAAACAGAATTTTTCAAGCGACACACTTCGTGAGAGAAATAACTCAAACCACATCCGCCTTGTACCTCCTTGAGGTAATAAATCAATCAACGAATTACTTCTGATGATGTTATGTTAGGAGAAGAATGCAACAACGAAAAAGAGAAAATCAAGGGGTCCACATACGAATAAATGTGTCCTCACGATATTCGGTTACAGAATACGACAGGAAGTTTTCCTTTGGAAGATCTATCGCGATACTAATGCCAAGTTGTTTAAGCTCTAGGGAACATCGAAAGATGAAAATTGGTCGGAATAAGTCTCTACCTTCTGAGAAGCTTAGAAATGTCGTTACTCATTTACAATTTTCAGAAGTACGTAACAATGTAACATTTTACACAATGAAATTACGATGTCGAAAAGTAACAAATTACGCGAGAAAAGTATAAAAATAAATTAACAAACTTCTGCATTGCCTTCTACGAATCCGATCAATTTCCAAGTGTTATTGTACGGCGCTGCGTCACAAACTTATATGAGTACAAAGATGAACGCGCGATTTACTCTAACTGTGCGAAATGAAGATTATAATGATTCCGCACTATTCCGCATAGCACCAGATACTAATGTTTTGCACTAAGAGTTCCGTCAACTAAACGTTAATCAGTTTAAAGAAAAAAAAAACTGGCTACTTAAACGAACGAGAAATTAACACGACGCAATCGAGTCACACATTACGATATTAGCTACCCTTTACATATTGCCAAAAGTCCCTTTGGTTATTTATATACTTGTAAGAGCTATTATAGCCGAGATAACTTCCGCTGGTTTCGCGTGATCGATTCGTAAAAGATTCTGAGAATAATCCGAAATGCAATTTAAGTTGTCCTAGGTTCATTCTGTTTGTTGAATTAATCACCTAGAAGTTAGTCTGAATCAACTAATTTGACTTTGAATTTGTCCTGAATTATAAATGGACACTATTTTTTGAGTCTAGCTGAAAGTTCGACTATGATAAACAGACGCAGAATATAATTCCTCTAACTGAATCCCGAACACAGTTAATCCACAGAAGCTTCGACAAAAATGCAAATATGACACGCTGAATTCTTCTTTTTTCACTTTTTTCTTCATCCGACCATCTGTGTTTCTATATGTGTATATTTGTATATTTATATATGTACTTTTACACGCACACGCACACGCTCTCTCTCTCTCTCTCTCTCTCTCTCTCTCTCTCTCTCTCTCTCTCTCTCTCCCTCTCCCTCTCCCTCTCTCTCTCTATTCATTCATAAAATCATTCATGTAATCTTGTCATTCGTAAAGTCGACAGAAAAGAACTGAACTAGAAGGGCTATATAGAATTTGTTTTGCGCTTAGTTCAGTGAGTATTTTTCTGTTTCACCGTCTTTAAAATTGCATTATGAAAATCAATGCCAACGGAAATACTATTGTCAAATGAGTAATTGGATGCGAGAGTAAGAAACGATTTTATCGATAAATCTCTATTTCTATTTAACCGCTTCGGTTAATTGTCTATTTTTTTGCGAAAACAATTCCCTATAATTCCATGTATAGCTGCAATACAAACCGCACAAAATCATGTTTGTTGATCGCGAAAAACAAAAAAAAAAAAGAAACGATAAATTTAAGCAAAAATAATGTATCACAACCAATATTTAAAAGAGATATGAAATTCATAAGAAACGTCAAGTAACTGATATTTTGTTTTTTCTCAAGTAAAAGTAACATTTGTATAAAAATGTTTTCCATACGAAATAATATATTTTAACAATTTTGCAATTACCATCGCGAAGAAAAAAAAACACTAATATCGCAGTTTTTTGCACGACGAATATTAACGTTGCGATGCGCATAAAGTGGATGGACATGCAATATCGCAAATTGTGTCAAAATTGTGTGATCAAATTGTGTGAAATCTATCTTTTTCTCTTGATAATAAAAAAAAATCAAGCAACTGAAAACGACTATAATTTGCAGCTCTAGGTATACGGTGCACACGGAAATTCTCCTAAGTTCCTCTACTTTCAAGTTTAATCACAATACTCACTTTACGAATCGATACGCCGCCAAAATAATCAAAATCACAGGCGTATAATCGTTACCTTACGCCACATTATTAAGGTCGACGATAACAAAAATTTAATTGAGCCGCAAAAGTTGAATTTCGGCATATAAGCGAAAATTTCATTCGATCGTGAATTATATTTTCACGCATGAAAATATAATTTGATAATTTAAATCGCCAAAAGAATTATGTTAACCGGGGTCCAATTAAATAATTAATTCAATAGCGAATTAAATTCTAGTGGATCAACAAAATTTTGATAAAGCCATTAAACTTTTACACGTTGACAAACGCAAACTCAATCGAGTAACAAAATAATAAATATTTATGCGCAAGCAAAATATTAATTAAGCCGTGAATTAAATTAAAATATATGTATATGCGTGTGTCTCTGGTGACATATCGATCTACGACAAATGAAAAATTCACGTCAGACAAGATTCCGGGCAAGGGACTTAAATGCTAATCTCTTGCGCGTCAGTAGAAACTCAATCAAGTCGCGATAAAAATGTCTATACATACTGTGAAGAATTCAATTAAACAGTGAATTAAATTTCTGTTAACGCCGTGGGCGACATTCGGTACGAATATCTCTTTGCACAGAGGACGGGGCGGAAGAGGAGTAAGAGGGAAAAGTCGCGCAGCTGTACCTCACGACAGGCCCTGTGGCGTGAAGCAGATCTTCTCCAGTTCGCCGGTCGACGAGCTGACGGGCGACTCAGCCCGATCGTCTTGCTCGGTTGCCAATTGCTCGCTATAGTAATGGGGCGTGCTGAGATAGTCAATGAGCCGGCGCGGCAGCGGTAAAGTCGGTATCAAGTCCCTACGCACCATCTTCAGGATAACGAATCTGCACGTGTGCTGCAGACTCTGAACCTGTTTGAATCGCGACACTGGATGGAGCAGTTGCACTCTCATCGGTCCTAATACCGGTCGTCGATGCAGGAAAAAGAGATAGCGACCGCTACGTGAATGTTCGACCGCGTTCTCGATGAAGTCGACAATAGTGTGCGACTTAAACTTTGTGCAACTGCCAAAGCTGAAATTACCTGCGTCAAAGTAGAAACGAGTTTAAATAGATTTTCCATGATATGGATTCTCAATACACGAAATCATCAAACTTACCCTGATCATGCTCTATCCTGACATGACGCACGCAACTGTTGAGTCTGAACGACAAAGAGAATATATAGTGATCGTCGCTACTATCCCGTACGATAAACGAGCCGTCCGGCTCATTAGATAATATCTTCTCCGCCGCTTCACCAGATATAGGTCCCCAGTACCACCCGTACTGTTTTAAAAAAAGTAATATTTTAGAATTAATGCAATGTTTTTCAAACGAGCGAACCTCAAATTATCTAAGAAAACAGCTATTTTACATACATCCTTCACTTTTTCAATGCTGGCGGCAAAATCCATACTCGTGTCCTCTGCAACATCTTCCTCGAGTCGCGCAGCTTGCTGCACTGGGACTTGCTGCACTGAGCTCGGGGATTCGCACTTAGGCACCATCGCCGTGAGAGCTTCCTCTGCCTGTTCTACGCTTACTTGGCCATTAATGCTCTTAGGCAGGGGAGGCAGCGCGCGTTTAAAGAACGGCAACTTCTGTGCGGATGGTTCCGTCTCAGACGCGGTATTGTTATTATTGATCGCATGTTGGTCAAAATCGACACTCGCTTCTTCTTCCTCGACGATCTCTCCTTGCACGATACTGTTGCGTTTTTCCACGAAATGGTCCGGCGATCCTAGCCGACGAAATCGAAATATATTGCACAGCGTCTGCTTGAGATTCAAAGAGAAATTGCGTTGACTTTTCTTGATCTTCTCACGCTCAGACTCGCTCTTCTCCTTGTGCGATTCGTCACGTGCTTTCTTGTGCCTGATGCCAACGAAAGCATTCCTCTTATGCTTTTTGACGTTGTTACCATTATTATTATTATGGTTGTTGTTGTTATTGTTATTGTTATTGTTGTTATTGTGGTTGTGGATCATCAGTCCGTTGCTGGTACTTTTATTGGATACTGGCGTGTCCGTAGACGAGTCTGTGTGCGCGTTACTGCTATACCTATTAATTAAATGTATCATCGGATCAATATTGCAGAATCAGTTCGATGAGTGAAGCAAGAATAACGAACGATTAAAGATACTAAAATCAAACTGAGAGGGAAGGTCTCTATAGAAGTTAGTTATCACTCTCGAAAAAATAAAATTTCTTTATCTTATCGATATGTGAATCGTTACTCCTACCTATTATTGTTATTTATACTGAGGACCTTGGGTGTTGCGGCGAGATGCACCGGCGTATGGCCGAGCAACGGTGCTTTATCCCGTTTTATCTTGTTCTCACTTGAATCGCTGGAGCTCGAATATAACGTTTGCAAGTACTGTCGCACCTCGTGCAGCGTCATGTGGATCGGTTCGCCGATATTGTGCACATGTCCATTTGATGTCCTGACAGCATGACGACCAGAAGTGCCAGGCACACTATGTCGTTTGCCACCACCACTGCTGCTACCACCAATACCAGCACCACCACAACCACCACTGCCGCCATTACCATTACTACTACCACCCCCAGCACCAACATTACCATCACCATCACCATCACCATCACCATCACCATCACCACCACCACCACCATCGCCACCACCAGCACCACCATCATCACCATCACCACCGGCACCACCACTGCTGCTGCCAATTCCAGTATTGATATTGCCATCATTGCAGCAAACCTCAGCCAACAAACGTTGTGATTTAATAACATGCGTGATGGCCCGGGATTTACCACAGTAATGACGAGCTTGTTGGATATGAGCTTCCAGTTCACTTTGTGAACTCGCGGACACGTTTCGTCGTCTCTTACGATGATGACGATGACGCTTAGGCCGTTGTGGTGTCCGCAGATCATGCAGTGGTCGCACCACGTCAATCGGCACCGTATAGATGTCTGAGTCGAACGGCACATTGTACATGTCACTGATTTCGCTGGTAGTGAGTACATCATGCGACATCGCAGACGTAATGAAGCTGCTATCGTCGGCCTTATGACCAAGTCCGGTGGTGTTGATGGAGTTATGTGAACTGGACAGTCTAGAGGAGGCTAAAGAGCAGCGCGAATTTGGTCGATTCAGTGTGTTATAAGGAGTGATAGTGATGGTGGCGGCACCTTGACACACCGGGGGTGCCATCAAGTCCCACATACGCTTAGGATTGGATTGCTGCACTCGTATTACCGTCGGTATCGTGTTTGTAGTCGGCGCGATCCTACCCTCAGGCCAGGAGATACGACATGAAATAGCCAGTGACTCTTCTACTACTGACTGTACTAAGCTTTCTGCATAATCATCCATCCAGCATGGTATTTGCCTCATCAGCCGTGCATAACTCAGAATTGGTGCCGATAAGGACTCTGAGTCTGGCGGGGATGGACTATCCTGAAATTCCGGTGGTGGCTTGATCGCCACATCAACTACCTCAACTTCTAGCTTGCCATCCACATCGTTCCAACCTGGGCCTTTTTTCAATGTATTGAAGTTCTCACCACACATGCCATCTGAGTAATCAAAAGAATCTTGCGATAGGGACTTGCTCTCTATGTCGCTCTCCTGCATCTGAAAAGTGTTATTTAATTTAACACAAATTAAAAAAAAGAGTACAGATACATGTGAGAACATACATTGATAATTGTGACTAATTAGGGAAAGAGAAACACTACCTCCATTATAAGATGTGCTCTAACAGAATCACTAGAAATTGAACCTCCTAGGCCACTGCTACCAAGATCACTAAGAGGCCCAGCACTTAACGAACATGATGGTGGAGAGTCCATCTCAGAATCTTTTTGTTTTAGTTGTACACTGGAATCTACAGCTGCCAGAATTTTTGGTATTTCCACATCATCCCCTATAACATGTTTAACAACATGATTAACATTAATGTTGAATTATATTTTTTACTTGCAAGACATTCACAAATTGATATCAAACCTGAAAAATAGAGGTAATACATGACCGCCTCATGATCTTCATATATCCAGTTGTACTTATCATATGGTCCATTATGAGCAAGATACTGTAGGAATACTCTAAAACAACACTGTCGATAATCCTAGAACAGGTAAATAAGAATACAATCTGAGATTAAGTAACCAATAGATAGAAAAATGAGCCATGATATTTAGAAATATTATGCAATTTCATGTATGCATTATAAAGGTTAATTCTTTCAAGGTATTTCTATTCATGACCAACAACACTCTAAGATCTTAAACTTCCAAAATATTCACATTCATGTGTGTGTACAATTTCTTAAAAATTTAAATTTCTCTATTAATAAATTAACAACAATTATTTTTCGAGATGTCATAGCTTTTCCTTCATGCAAGTTCTTTCATTCGAAAATATAGAATCCCTTCTACCTCACCCTTAACCGTGCGTTCAATGTTGAATGCAACTACTTCGGGAGTTCTGTCAGTTCGATGGAACGTACTTGAGGAGTGTAAAATACTCGAACTTAATGTGAAATGTATGATGACAGCTCAGTCGAAGGACAACAGTTCGGAGCAGCATCCGGTGAAGAGAGACAGATAGATTCGCGTGACAGTTCAGAAAACGTTGATAAAAACGGTGATGTTCGCGTTGAAGCTGAACACGGGAGGTCAAGCGGATGACGCCGCTACCGCTTACCTTCGCGCTAGATCTCACGCAATGCGATCACGATCTAAGTTTCGTCGTCGTCGTGGCACAGAGACATGCCGCTCATGATCATCGCATGACGCGCGATCCGAGCCCGCGCCGGGACCAATCGATATCTGCGAGACAACGCGAAGCAGCCTCACGTTTCACCTCAAACCATGTTCGGCTTGGTCCGGTTCGCCGTGTTCCGCACGTCACGCCTAAGTAACTAGCGCTGTCAATTCATTTTGCGAAATTGCACTCATATGTTGGCAATACTGACTGCATTCAAAAAACTCAACGGTTGACCAATAAAAATATCTATGGTGGCTGTATTCTGCATGGAACTACGTAAAATGATAGACGAAGAAATAGAGAGAAATTTCCTGTCTATATAAAGAAAGTAACTATGTAAGTGCATCATCGGGCTGTTTCGGTTGTCATCCGAAGTGCTGGAAATAGAAAGACCTTCATAGCTCTTTCCATAGACATAGGAATACAGAGACAGAGCATAGAGTTGCGAGGGGATAACCATTGCGGGACGGTGTGGCGAGGTAAACTGTGCCTAAATCTAATTGGTTGTGCCGTGTGTAAGTATTTGATACATACATAGATGTGTATGAAGTTATGTGTGAGTAAAATTATGAAAGAAAAGTCACATGCATAACCTCTGCAAAATAATACTGTCAGTGTAAATGTCGGTGATAAAAAAAGATAAATACAAATAATAGAATGGTGCAGTGTTGCGTTCCAAAATGTAAGAACAGGTCCGATAGCCAAAATTGGAAAAAAACCAGCAATGTGGACAAAAATCGAAAAATTACATTTCACAAGTATAAAATTGCATGTACTGTAAAATAATAGTACCCAATTTTTAAAAGTTTTTTAATATAATATAAATATTTATATTTAGCATTCCAAAAAATAATACTAATCGCTATTTGTGGGCCGATATCTTAAATCTTCCACCACATATTCCAAAAAGTGCACGTATTTGCTCTGATCATTTTTCAAAGGAATCTTTCGATCAGATAAATGGATTATTAACGTGATTAAGGCCAAATGTTTTGCCATTGAATGAATGTGAAAAGCATATAGATACGGAAAAAAGAAAGAATGATTCCTTCATTGTATGCCGTAAGTAGACAAAGTAACAAATTTTTATACTTATTTATATTATTTATATTATTAGCATTTATATTATTTATGATTGGATAATGCCTACTGTTTGTGGAGGTTGTGGATGTAATATAATTGCTAGAAATACAAATTATTCATTATATTATTATATATTATATAAAATATGTTATGACGTTTAGCACAACCATCAACAACAGATAAGGAAATAATAACATCGATGTAACCATGTACAGCAGAGAAAGCAACAATGGTATCATTTAAAAGAATTTATAATTATCCAAAAAAATGTCGATTGAGGAATCTATTAATATAAGTTTAGTAATAAGTATATTCATATATAATTATGTAATATATATAATAATAAATATGTATAAGTATTGTTTTATAAAAGTTCTTATAATAAATAATATTTTATAGTATATATGCATATTTATTTTACTCATTATATAACTTCAAATATTACATAATTTCTATTCTTACTATGAATTTCTGTACAACAAAATAGTTCTTATCATTTTGTTACATTTACTATTTGCCACTGACAGCAAAAGTCGTTGCATCACACGCTTTGAATATGCGCACTATTGTAGCCAATGAAACTTAGGCACAGTTGCCCCCCGCATTTCAGTACAACTCCCCTCGCCTATCTTACGGGCTTATGCTGTCTCTATATTCCTATGTCTATGGCTCTTTCTATATTTATTTCCTAACCTTTACGAGGCAGTTTGTGTAATGACGTGTATACGTTCTCTAGTTTTAGGGTATCTATGTTCTTGCTAATGTTATTAATGAGTGGTAAAGTGAGTGAAAATCTATATGAATTTAAAAGAAATTATGGGTAAATATTATTTTATATTATATTGAATATATATATCTTACCATACATACATACAAAATTACTTAATTAAATTAAATTCATATTTGAACCACCTTGTTTTGTTCCATACTTTAATCAATAATGAAATAAAATATGAATGAAAATTATATTAAAATCTTATTAGTATATGTTATTATTTATAAGTATCATTATTTATTTATGAAAATAAAGGTTTTATTTAATATTTTACCCTAACTGCACCATACATCCCTGATAGCAAATATGTTCAGAAAACATTCAAGGGATGTCCTGGAGACATCCTATATCCTTAGGACGGCCCTGGGATGTCTCTGAACGTCCCCAGGAGATTTATGCTAATCAAATAGATTGCTTCAATTTCTTAAAAATATGCGTTCTAATCGTAAATTTTCTTTTTCTTTTTCTATTTCTTCTCCCATTAAAATTCTCATTATTGCATCCATTGGTCTATCTCTTTGTCTCTCTCTTTTTATAAATATTAATTTTTTTTCTAATAAATCCTTTTCAGTTGAAGATTGTTTAATATTCACTAACTGAGAGAGAGAGGTTATTAGAAATAAAATAATAAATTAGTTTATTATAATTATTAATATTCTTATTAACAATAAGATATATAAAAATGTATACTTACAGGATAAAGATGACAAAAAATCTTATGTATATTATTAAATAAGGTTATATTAGCTGTCAGTACACATTCATTTAATCCATAATGGAAAAAATATCAAGACAGCCAAATAATATTTAGTAATTTCATAAAAATCACTATACTATTTTATCCGTTGCCGAACGTTTTTAGCTAAAACATTAAAGATAATATAACACAATCCTCTATAACCGAAGATTCCCGATCTGTCATAGAAAAGCTATTAGGTAGTACGAATTATTATAAGCATCAACTTTCCTGTCTTATCTATTTTATTTTCCTTGCTTACGCCTTTCTATGTCTATGGGTGTTTTCCAGCAACGGAACATAGTCATACACTGTGTGACACAGTGTTACACAGTGTCGACTTGTAGCTGGAACGCTGCTTAGCTTTTTTCTTTCACCGTCAGAGTGCAGGGCAGTTACTTTATATATCTTGTTACTAGTTTGCAATGCAAACAGACATATGTCAATAATTTAAAATAATAATCTAAATCGTTACAAGATACTTTCTTATAAGTTATATAAAGGTTAGTGTTTTTTAACAAAATTTTCTTATAAATTAGCTTATTTATCAAATATATAGAAGAGAATGATTAAAAAAATCTTATTAAATTATGTACATTAAATTGTTATGGAAAAGTAATCAATTAAATAAATATATTTTTTATAATACTATTTTTAATATTAATTAAATATAGCATATTTTATTTTATCTTTTCACTTTATTTAATTTTATATTATTAAAAAAATTAATAGTTTTATTAATTAATTAAGTAATTTTAATATAGATGAATGGGAAGGAAAAGATAGTTGTTAATCTTGTACTGGAGAGTACGATAAACACCAGTACAAGCACAGAAGACTCAAGCAACAGTGAAATAGACTGGAACAATAGTAGTCTTTCAATTGATGATACATCTTTCAGTAGTGAAGAAAACGATGGTTATTTATTGTTGTTTCCTTTAATGAAATATTTAATCAGTAGGTGTAAAAGACATCGAGTTGAAGATTATCTTCATGTTGTGGATAGTTGGACAGATTTAGAATTTAAAGAGCACTTGCGAATCAAGCGTAATTTAGCAATTCGATTAATAGGTAATATTCATTTTAAATACCAAATAATTTATATTTCTAAACATGATTTTATAATATTTAAAACGTATAATTCTTTATATATTCTAGATGAATTGCATGAAAGTGGATTTATTCCTTCTCATTCGTTTGGAGTGAGACCAATTGAAGCGAAACTCAGTTTTCTTATATTTTTGTGGCACTTGGCAAATACAGAACCTCTACGAACAATATCAGATAGATTTGACGTTTCAATTTCATCTGTCTTTCGAGTAATTCGCCGAGTGACAGCTTGGATATTGATAAAATTAGAAGACGTTATTAAATGGCCCGAAGGACAACACGTCGCATATGTTTGTCATCAGTTTTATGCTAAAAGAGGCATTCCAAATATAATGGGGGCTATTGACTGCACTCAAATTAAAATAGAAAAACCTAATGTGGAGAATGCAAGAGATTATTGTAACCGGAAAAAATACTTTTCTGTAAGCCTACAAGCTGTTGTAGATGCGGATATGAAATTCACTAACATATACTGTGGTCAGCCAGGTTCTCTCCATGATGCACGAGTCTTGAGAAAATCTGCATTATACAATTCAGTTAATGAACATAGAGAAGTAATTTTTCTAGATGAAAAATTTATAATAGGAGACTGCATATCCGTCTTTATAATGGCTTGTTCCTCCTTTTCGTGATAACGGTCATCTTACTCCTCTTCAGACCGAATTTAATTTCATACTTTTTTCAACGCGTATGGCTGTAGAAAAAGCATTTGGTTATCTGAAAGGACGTTTTCGACGAATAAAATTTTTTTCGGAATACCGTGAAATGCCGTTTATTACAAATACAATTATAGCTGCATGTATCTTACATAATTTATGTTTGAATTATGACGATGATAATGTCGATTATGATGATGTCGAAATGGAGGAATTGAATGATAATATTTATGATAATGTAAATGAAAATATTAATTTTGGACATCAAGTAGATCGGAGGATGCAATTAGTGAGGGAAATATTTGACTAGGAATAAACAATGTACACTGATTATTATATTGGTTTTATTTATTTTATTATATTATACCCAGGCAGCAAGCCTAGGTTATTTGTTATTAAAATAAATGTATCATATAATACAATAAATAATTTGCTAACCATCCTCATGCTAAGGCTTTTATATTTATTTAATGTCTAAATATGTTAATACACATATATTTTTACATCCTGCAATATAAATGTTATATTTTATAATGCAATTAAAAATTTATTGGCGTCTAAAGACGTCAATAATACTTCATTAAAATGTCTTTAGACATCTTTAGACATTATTTTGCTACCTGAGTAATCAAATAATAAAAAAGTACTAAATACCTTCCATGGTTCTAATATATCTCCTCACTTTTCTTCTTAGTTGTAAGTGTATCCTCATGTCCTTTACATCTCAATATAACCTTAAAAATGTTTACTTCCTATCAGAATTACCACTCCGTAGAAAAATAAATGGTATCAGATTTAAAAATGTTGGTATTCATGGAGTGACAACACAGTCGAACACAGCATTTTAGCTGTGTCCAATTGTGTCGACTTGTGTCGTAGTTGGAAAGCACTGAGTCGGACACTGTGTTACACAGTGTCACTTGTGTACGTTGCTGGAAAGCACCCTATGACTATGTTTACACGGCTTCTAACTTCGACTTAGTAAGGCTAATGGCTGCATTCAGCAGAATCAACAGTTGGACAACATTACTAGATTTTCCATTGAATCTCGCTCCTGATTGGTAAATACTTCTGAGTCTATAAAGAATCTAAAAGAATGCTCCAATCACAGACAATAATCACTAAGCGCTCTCTGATCACTTTGTTCTACTGAACACGGCCAATATTATAACTCCTACTTAAGATGAGTTGCGTTTACATATTTACGCTTATCTATTTGAAATAACTTAATAACTTTCGAGTGAGTCAAGGATTTCCATTAGTACCAATATAAAAGGCCGAAAAATGAAATTATTGTGATTGTAGTCTGAATATAAAAGAATTAGAATATGAAAATAATAGTATGTAAATAAATCAACAAATAAAGTGAACTTTTAGGTTATATTATGAATTTGAAAATTATAAAATATGTATATATCTATATAGTAAAATTTATATAATAAAATATAATACTTAACTAAAAATTAAATTAAAATTTTAGGTTATCAATTTTGTTAAAAATTAATCATGGAAAATATGGAAAGCGTACGCTCGTTTGTTGCTATATATTTGAAAATAGTAGAAAATATGACGATGCAATATATACTGTATGTACGAAATATTTTGATTAAACGGCGAAAGCGTCAGAAAGAAATTATATTACAACATTTGTTGAATTTAACACCACCAAATCATTTGCTTGATCTCGGACCCATATTACAATTTTCACGACATAAATCAATTTTACAATCAAGTTAAGATGTTCAATTTTTATATTGGTATTATTTGGTCATATTTACACTGCGTCCGTTTACACGTCTTCCTTACGTCGATGTAGAAACTCTAAAGGTCATTCTACAATGAGGTTGTAGTAGTATGCAGTAGGCAAATTGACCAATCACAGTCGATTATTCTTCGATCGTAAAGAGAACAATCGATCGTGATTGGTCAATTTGCCTACTGCATACTACTACAACCTCATTGTAGAATGACCTTCAGCCTCTTCACCAAATGACTTTGAGTTAAT